AGAACAACCGAGTAGCTCTGAAGTAATTAGCTGACTTGGGGGTTTAAAACTGAATTATATTTATAGAGAAAGATTTATTGTCCTAGTTTTTGTCATCTTTAAATGCCTTTGCAAGGAGAATTGACTCAAAATTGTGTCAATATTTTCTCAAAATTGTCACAAAATTGTCACAAACTTGCAGGGAACCTCCTGGAGGACAGCTAAACAGCTCAGGACTGTCTAGCTGACCTAATGGTATATAGCTGAATTATCCTTAAAGTGACAGATTTATTATCCTAGTTTATGTTTCATTCCTAAATGCCTTCATAAGGAGCATTGTCTCAAAATTGTCACCAAATTGTCTCAAACTTGTGAGGAACCTCCAGAAGAACAGCTGAATACCCTTGAAGTGCTTGGCTGTATTGAGCATATAAAGCTGAATTATCTTCATAGTGACAGATTTATTATCCTAGTTTTTGCTTAATTCCTAAATGCCTTCATAAGGAGAATTGACTGAAAATTGTCACTAAATTGTCTGAAAATTGTCACAAACCTGTGAGGAACCTCCTGAAGGACAGGAGAATACCCTTGAAGTTCTTGGCTGTATTGAGGGTATGAAGCTGAATTATCTTTATAGTGACTGATTTATTATCCTAGTTTATGTTTCATTCCTAAACGCCTTCATAAGGAGAATTGACTCCAAATTGCCACAAAATTGTCTCAAAATTGTCACAAACTTGCGAGGAACCTCCTGGAGGATAGCTGAATAGCCCTGGGGTGCTTAGCTGACTTGAGGGTATATAGCTGTATTATCTTCATAGTGACAAATGTATTATCCTACTTTATGCTTCATTCCTAAATGCCTTCATAAAGAGAATTGACTCAAAATTGTTACAAACTTGTAGGGAACCTCCAGGATGACAGCTGGTAAGCGCTTAGATGATTTGAGGGTATGAGAATGAATTATGTTTGCCCTATTTTAAGATTTCTAGAATATGTGAGGTCTTTTGACATGGCAAAATGATGGACGCAATCACTGCGCAGTTGAGAAATTATGCAAAAGGTCGCAAACGTGCAGTGAGTAGCAAATATTACTAGAAAAAGAACATTTTAAAAAAGATGCACAGACAAAACTTTGTGGTTAGTTCGCATGTGATTTTGGTCTTTGCAACTAAAAATTTGGTTGCAAACACGTTCATAAATACCCCCCCCCCCCCCCAGCAGGG